TCATACACATTATTTTTATCTCTAGTTTTTTCCATGTTACAGAATAAACATTCGAAAGGAACATAAAATAGAAAAGGAAGAAGGATAAAATACAAAATAAAAGTCGGTCTTAACCTTGGTGTTCGGTACAGGCCATCGGGTTCACACTTAAATAAATAGAATGAAACATGAGCCGGCCTTGAGGTGAGAGGTGATCGTACCGAGCTCGCTCGTTATGATGGACTGCCTGGGTTAGAGTCCGCGGAGGAAAACAACAATCCGTGGGGCAGGTCGGGATCTGGCGGGCGCGGGAAACTGTGCCACTGCCGTCTAGATAATTAGTTCGTCGACATGCCACGCGGCCTTGGCCTCGGTTATGCTAATGTTATCTTCATGTTCACTACCTGGTCATCGGGTATGCGCAGCGCACGTCGGTGGTAGATTTTTGGTCTGCTCATGGTCAACTTACGTCGAGCATTGGTAACGGCGTCCTCGATATATACATTTCGAGAACCATCGAACCTGTAATAAAGCAGGAGGAAGAGACCAATTTAGAAGGCTGACAATTTCTTTCTAAATTGCAATTTTAGGTTATATAAAAAATATTTTGTTCTGAAATGTGTATTGCTTTCACCTTGATTCGTTTAATGAAATGAGTTAACGTTATAATTTTATGGTATTTATGCGTTGAAATATATAATCCCACATATATTATTTGACTAAGGTTCCATCGAAGGATAGAATTTGATAAAAGCGATAGCGAGCATCTAGATACCAACTCGCATCAATGAAAATTTCATGAAAATCGGTAATAGGTCGGTATTAAAAAAATGAAATCGGTATTAATAAAATCGGCGATTTATCATAATATAGATTTCACTTTAGATAGACATGGAAGTGGCTAAGCCGGCTGAAGCGTGTATGCACAGCACCGAAGTTATATAAGACAAAATAAGTATGAGTCGCGTCCCTGTGAATGGGGGACTTTTAACTTTGGCATAAATCCTCCGCCATCACAGAAAACTCCGTAAAGCCTAATTGGCAAGGAAGAGGAGGACAACAAAATTTATATGAATCATTTTTTTTTTCGATTTAAAAAAAAAATCTGTGCATTAGGGTCCATTTTACACTTATAGCGATGTCCTGATGTTTTCTTTTTTTCCATGCCACTCATAGCTTCAGCTTTTCTTGTTACAGTAAGACTTCGATTACTTCAGTATCCATTTATTTTGGACGTTCGTCTTCCTTAAAGTTTTTAATTATTTTTTATTTTATTTAATCTTTATCTGTTGCCAGGGAAGAACCCCATACAAATCTTTGCATAACAAATATTATTACTCTCATGGTATTACAAATATTTGTTTTCATTTATATACTACAATACAAATATTACTACAAGAATTCCTTAAAAAGCATATTTGGTAAAAAGTAAGACAGTTAATATAACGTTAATAATACAAATTATTAACAATTATATAAAATTTAAAATTCCGTCAAAACACATATAAATATCAATAAAAAAAAAAAATACATTATCATGACAGTTACGGATACATAGCTAAAGAGGAAAGAAATATATTACGAGCATGAACAAAGAAAACAAACAAATAATATTTAAAGGACAATATTCCCGATTACTCCACTAATTCTCTATTATTTGATATATTAGATATGAAAAAATATAATCTTCTCATATCTTTTATAGTAATTGGCTCAAATATTTCCATCCCATTAAGATTACCCATACTCTGGTAAATTCTTACTCTTAAAAACTATTGTATATTGGGCATTTAAATAATACTTGATAAAGTGTCTCTTTTTCAATAGTGCAGCACATTTTGCATTCAAGTTGTGAAGTAAATTTTACAATTTTGTTGTCAACTGAAACCTTGATCACGTATTTTAAATCCCTGTTTCCAGCTTTCGGTAGTGAAGAAGTAAAAAAAATAATCAATAAACCTCCCGAAAGGCGATTTTGTATATTTGAATTTGGTATAGTTAGTTTTTAATTATTGTAACTAGAAACGAACTGATAATTAACCTAATTACTAAATATAAAACTTTTTTTTTATACATATATTTTTATTGAGAAATAATAAATTTTGCCACACTTAAGGGCACTGAGTACTAAAGCTGAGTGAGGCACATTCATACCATATATAGCTTCTTATTTTTCTTTTTTTATTAGGAAGCCTACGTTTAATATTTTTTTCATATTAAGGCAATAATACTTCCAAGTTCCTTCAAATTCTTTTAATTACATTTGTTATCTCTAACGTTTCGGGACAATTTTCCCATCATCAGAGCAATCTTTATCAATGAATAAGAAAAGATGTGTAACACCAAAAAATGTGACAAATATTTAATTTTTGACAAATGGTGCCACGTCAAAAAAAGAAAGTGAAGATAAAGATTCCTCTGATGATGGGAAAATTGTCCCGAAACGTTAGAGATAACAAATGTAATTAAAAGAATTTGAAAGTATTATTGCCTTAAATGTGAAAATAAATAAATAAAAAAAATTATACATCTATATAACAAAGGCAAAATTATAATAAACTGATGAAATGTAACTTAGAGTTAAAATTAAATAAAATACAGAAATTCGTAGCAAAATTAAATAAATTATATGAGAAGGAATTAGTCGAGGGTGCGGTCAAAAAAAATAAAAAAAATTAAAATATATAAATAATTTTAATTTTGCCGACGTTTCGACCCACTTTGCAGGTCGTCTTCAGGCGTTGGATGTGGCACTGCGGGAGGCGGTTGCAACCGCCTCCCGCAGTGCCTCTCTGCAAAAATTAAAATTATTTATATATTTTAATTTTTTTTATTTTTTTTGACCGCACCCTCGACTAATTCCTTCTCATATAATTTATTTAATTTTGCTACGAATTTCTGTATTTTATTTAATTTTAACTCTAAGTTACATTTCATCAGTTTATTATAATTTTGCCTTTGTTATATAGATGTATAATTTTTTTTATTTATTTATTTTCACATTTAAGGCAATAATACTTTCAAATTCTTTTAATTACATTTGTTATCTCTAACGTTTCGGGACAATTTTCCCATCATCAGAGGAATCTTTATCTTCACTTTCTTTTTTTGACGTGGCACCATTTGTCAAAAATTAAATATTTGTCACATTTTTTGGTGTTACACATCTTTTCTTATTCATTGATAAAGATTGCTCTGATGATGGGAAAATTGTCCCGAAACGTTAGAGATAACAAATGTAATTAAAAGAATTTGAAGGAACTTGGAAGTATTATTGCCTTAATATGAAAAAAATATTAAACGTAGGCTTCCTAATAAAAAAAGAAAAATAAGAAGCTATATATGGTATGAATGTGCCTCACTCAGCTTTAGTACTCAGTGCCCTTAAGTGTGGCAAAATTTATTATTTCTCAATAAAAATATATGTATAAAAAAAAAGTTTTATATTTAGTAATTAGGTTAATTATCAGTTCGTTTCTAGTTACAATAATTAAAAACTAACTATACCAAATTCAAATATACAAAATCGCCTTTCGGGAGGTTTATTGATTATTTTTTTTACTTCTTCACTACCGAAAGCTGGAAACAGGGATTTAAAATACGTGATCAAGGTTTCAGTTGACAACAAAATTGTAAAATTTACTTCACAACTTGAATGCAAAATGTGCTGCACTATTGAAAAAGAGACACTTTATCAAGTATTATTTAAATGCCCAATATACAATAGTTTTTAAGAGTAAGAATTTACCAGAGTATGGGTAATCTTAATGGGATGGAAATATTTGAGCCAATTACTATAAAAGATATGAGAAGATTATATTTTTTCATATCTAATATATCAAATAATAGAGAATTAGTGGAGTAATCGGGAATATTGTCCTTTAAATATTATTTGTTTGTTTTCTTTGTTCATGCTCGTAATATATTTCTTTCCTCTTTAGCTATGTATCCGTAACTGTCATGATAATGTATTTTTTTTTTTTATTGATATTTATATGTGTTTTGACGGAATTTTAAATTTTATATAATTGTTAATAATTTGTATTATTAACGTTATATTAACTGTCTTACTTTTTACCAAATATGCTTTTTAAGGAATTCTTGTAGTAATATTTGTATTGTAGTATATAAATGAAAACAAATATTTGTAATACCATGAGAGTAATAATATTTGTTATGCAAAGATTTGTATGGGGTTCTTCCCTGGCAACAGATAAAGATTAAATAAAATAAAAAATAATTAAAAACTTTAAGGAAGACGAACGTCCAAAATAAATGGATACTGAAGTAATCGAAGTCTTACTGTAACAAGAAAAGCTGAAGCTATGAGTGGCATGGAAAAAAAGAAAACATCAGGACATCGCTATAAGTGTAAAATGGACCCTAATGCACAGATTTTTTTTTTAAATCGAAAAAAAAAATGATTCATATAAATTTTGTTGTCCTCCTCTTCCTTGCCAATTAGGCTTTACGGAGTTTTCTGTGATGGCGGAGGATTTATGCCAAAGTTAAAAGTCCCCCATTCACAGGGACGCGACTCATACTTATTTTGTCTTATATAACTTCGGTGCTGTGCATACACGCTTCAGCCGGCTTAGCCACTTCCATGTCTATCTAAAGTGAAATCTATATTATGATAAATCGCCGATTTTATTAATACCGATTTCATTTTTTTAATACCGACCTATTACCGATTTTCATGAAATTTTCATTGATGCGAGTTGGTATCTAGATGCTCGCTATCGCTTTTATCAAATTCTATCCTTCGATGGAACCTTAGTCAAATAATATATGTGGGATTATATATTTCAACGCATAAATACCATAAAATTATAACGTTAACTCATTTCATTAAACGAATCAAGGTGAAAGCAATACACATTTCAGAACAAAATATTTTTTATATAACCTAAAATTGCAATTTAGAAAGAAATTGTCAGCCTTCTAAATTGGTCTCTTCCTCCTGCTTTATTACAGGTTCGATGGTTCTCGAAATGTATATATCGAGGACGCCGTTACCAATGCTCGACGTAAGTTGACCATGAGCAGACCAAAAATCTACCACCGACGTGCGCTGCGCATACCCGATGACCAGGTAGTGAACATGAAGATAACATTAGCATAACCGAGGCCAAGGCCGCGTGGCATGTCGACGAACTAATTATCTAGACGGCAGTGGCACAGTTTCCCGCGCCCGCCAGATCCCGACCTGCCCCACGGATTGTTGTTTTCCTCCGCGGACTCTAACCCAGGCAGTCCATCATAACGAGCGAGCTCGGTACGATCACCTCTCACCTCAAGGCCGGCTCATGTTTCATTCTATTTATTTAAGTGTGAACCCGATGGCCTGTACCGAACACCAAGGTTAAGACCGACTTTTATTTTGTATTTTATCCTTCTTCCTTTTCTATTTTATGTTCCTTTCGAATGTTTATTCTGTAACATGGAAAAAACTAGAGATAAAAATAATGTGTATGATTAAAAAAACTATGGTGTGTGCTTTAGACATCAACAAGGCGAGATTAATAATATGAAATATAAATAATAAATAATAAAGAGGATGAAATGCTGAACATTTCCCTCGGTTACAGTATACAGATCCGATTTTTAGTACCTGAAATATTTTAATCCATACGTTCAACTAATCTTATCATTTAGTTTTCGGCAATATTTTTTCCTTTTCGCCTCCATGACACGGCGTCACGATAAGATACAATTTTGAATTATCGCTTATTACAGAGAGGATGAAATGCTGAACAATTTCCTCGCTTACAGTATGCAGGCTCAATTTATGGTTTCTGAGATATTTTAGTCCATATGTAAAAATATTTTAATTATTCGACTCTAGCCGACTTTACCCGAGCGTTAATGCCGAACGAAATCTGACAATCTAATTCACTCTCCACAAAGAAGTGCAAAATGCGCCTAACGAAGTTTTTACTTCAAAAATAACTTATTTTTCGTTAATCATTTGTTTATTTATTTTATCTACCTAAGTGTGTTATCATTGGCAAAAACCATTTTATTTTTTAAAAACAAAAATTAATTTATTTTACCACAATTTAACAAAGTACAAAAACGAACCTATCCACAAAATGTTCAAAAATAGGTTTTAGTTAAAGTAAGTTAACCATTCCAATGGAGGATAATGGTTTTATAAATTCTAATTTTTAACTTTTGGGATAGGAGGCGCGAACTACGTGGTTTTGACAAAGAAAATTGACAAGCATTTTCCACCTTCAAATTAACCTTAATTATCTCTTTTTCAATTTCGGCCTTGTATTACTAACAAAAAAAAAAAACATTGAAATCTGTCAACCTCCGTTTTTAGCTTCTCCTTGTGGGATTACAATTAGGTTACATGCTGAGCTATCGATGACTAAATGTATAAATAAAGGAACGCGCTGGATTACATTTGTGGATCCATCAATAAGTTTTGAAACTATGAGTCTATCTGTACTGAGCTTAGGAACTTATCCCATTACTAATATCACTCATGTTCATTACGGATTATATCAGCTGATAAATTGCTTACACTTGACCATTATAGATGATAATTATCATTATTATATAGTGAATTATCAGCTTACAAACGGCCTTAAAATGGGACAATTAAAGAGCGATAAAGCCGCGAGAAGGGGGCAGGTTCGAGCTGCCATCTGGCGGGAATTAGAGTTGGGATTGATGGGAGCGACTTGTGGCGCGTGCGCATTACATCTGCCTTTTACAGCTTTCTTATTACGGTTTTATTTTTTATTTTTTTGTGTCGTTCCCAGAGGGCGACATCTGTCTCTTTTTATGCCGACATAAAAGTCAAGCCACGAAACTAATTATTCAACGACCCTTTGTAAAATTTTGATCGTTTTATGGAGAGACGGTTGCAACCGCCTCCCGCAGTGCCACATCCAACGCCCTGAAGACGACCTGCAAAGTGGGTCGAAACGTCGGCAAAAATTAAAATTATTTATATATTTTAATTTTTTTTATTTTTTTTGACCGCACCCTCGACTAATTCCTTCTCATATCATATCAACGGTCAACCAACTCTACATCATAAATAAATTATAAGTAAAAGAAATAAATAGAAAAACATTCATACTTAATTACAAAATATTAAACTAGACACATTTTAATTTATTGTCACAATTACAATAAAAATTTCTTCACAATAAAGTGGCGAGAACTAGATGGGACTCAAAATAAAGACTTATGTAGTCCTTTATCGAGAGGTCTTAATACATTTTTTGGGGCATTTTTTTTTGTCTTTATTAAGAGGGTTAACTGTATTTCGCACTTTTCAAGTATTTATAGTAATCAACGATCTTTAAGTCAAAAGCTTCAAATGACAATATATGTGTTGAAAAAGATTCTTGTGTGATATCAGCCTTTACTTAAAGACTCGCGGCGCTACCAGTTTAACATATTCTGAGATTCAACGAACCACGAAATGAAAACAAGAAAAAAAAAACAACACTCAACTTCATTTTTAATGCAAATGGTACACTTTGCGCAGAATAATCTAGAGAAGAAGAGGCAACGTAAAAATTCATGAATATAAATCCGAGATTACATCTTACTTTCAAATTTTTAACGAACGCAGAGAACTGCGTAAAACGGATTCGAGAGCCATCGTTCAAAAATAAAAATAAAGAAAACGATGGAAAAGAAAAGGGAAACGGGGCAGAAAGGGGATAAAGACGGGGAGTAGGGGAGGGGACAATGAGGGGGGATGGAAGAGAAGAGGGATCACGTAGGGAGCGGCTAGCTGTAGCGGTAACGGGCTGTCTCAGCTCTTAGGATCGATTGTAGTCTCAACATCGATACTATCTTAGTAAGGAACATTACTATCGATATATTTGTATTAACTGGCCTATAGGTACATCAATAGTCCGCGGTTCAAACTCTTTAAATATCGAATTATTAACGCCCGCCTGAAACTTCGTGAATGGCTTCATCTCATCGTAACCTACAACTATTTTATTTACGAAAACTCTTTTCAACCTGGAGGGAGGAAAAATTCGTCTATTTAATTAGGTACTAAAAACTCGTAAATACCCATTTGCTTTCCACTTGGATCGTTACATCATTTTATCACAAAATCGATAAAAAAAAAGGTGGCCATAAGAATTCGCCAAAAAACAAACAAACAGCCGTTTGGTGTGTCCTAGACCCTCCAATTTTCATAATAACGAAATTATATAGGACAAAATGCCTAATACTTTTGTAGGCCACCCTTTTTTATCGATTTTCTGATCAAATTATCTTACGATCCAAGTAGAAAGCAAATGTGTATTTACGAGTTGTTTGTACTTAATTAAATTAAAACAAAGTTTGCAGTCCCCCTCCCCCTCCAGATTGAAAACGCCCCAATTCAAAGAGTTTTCGTAAATAAAATAGTTGTAGTTTACGATGAGATGAAACTGTTCACGTAGTTTCAGACGGATGTTTATAATTCGATAAAAAGGGGTCTGTACCACGGACTATATAGAGGCGAATAGAAATATTTCTGGCACAAATATTTTTAATAAAATAATGAACATTTTCGTATTATGCACTGTAGCGATCCTACAAAAATATTGGGCTGTTTGTTCTTTACTCGTTATTTTGACAATTTGAATTTAGGCGTGAATATCTCCTAAACAAAGCGTATGCGGACATACCTTCAGAGGAAATTTTTTTCATGTTCTGAGGTTCTTAGTTCATATTTTCAGTTTCGCCACTTAACGCCTGAAACAACCTGTATATGATACACTATCATATCAGCCCCAATTTTTTTAAAAATAAACTGCTTTGAAATGACATACAAGGTTAATCTCACATAGAATAACATATTCTTTCTTAATTTATATTTAAATCTCTATCTGAATACTAACTTTCCTTAAATCAAATATGTTTTTTAAAACTTTAGAAAGGGCAGTAGCCGACTGATCAAATATACCGAAAAATCAAAATTGTCAGCAATTTCAGTCAAGATATTATTATTAGGTCAGCTGACGTTTCGACCCAAACATGCGGGTCATCCTCAGGGCTATCGTTTGCAAATCGATAGTTCGGGATATCGATAGCTCCGTATCGGGTCGATTTACGAACGATAGCCCTCAGGTGACTCACATGCGTCAAAACGTCGCTTATACCGATACAAATATTTAGACTGAAATTCCAAACAATTTTGCTTTATCCTTATGGTTTTTAAAGTTTTGGGATATCAAAGAAAATACATTTGAACATATTTAAGAGCAAGTAGTAGATTGAAATGGCCAATTCGAAAGAGCCGTTAATGAAAAATAGGCATGACTTAGGAAATTCAATTATGCTTTTATTAGTGAAATTATTGGATGGAATTCGATTAAATTGATACCAGGGTATCTAGTCACCAAACCTCACATACCAGAAAATTTAACGAAAACCTGATTAACGGTAATATGTTATATGTATTTGAATACAATGATTATTTGAATACAGACAGACACACAACCAAATTTGTTCCTTGATGACTAAAATGTTAAAATGCGAGTTAAAATTTTCGATTCTGAACACAATTTTGTTTTTGTTAACCTCCACACGAATACAACACTTCCCATCCTTACTTCTATTTCTAGCTTTCGGTAGTGAAGAAGTAAAAAAATAATCAATAACCAAAAGCAAAAATTTCCACCAGCCAATATATTTGCTGGCTCTTGAGTACTTGATATTGTTTGGCAAGCATCTAAAATTTAAGGCTATCAGAAAGAATAATTTGATGAAACAGCAAACAGAGCCAACCTTACATCATTCGATCATCCAACTAATCGAGGTTTTGAGATCGATTGTAAATAAACACGAGATAAGGAACAGCTGCGGAAATTGATAACAACAGCTCACATCAGCACCAAATATAATTGGCAATGACATAATGCAGTCTACTCTAGTTTATCGTCGTCTAGGTGTCATAATAAATATCCAATGTTCAATAGAATATTTGTCATCATAAATTGATCGGTTTCAAAACATACAAGAGAAAATAAATTTTTTCTACGCTAAAGTATTACACACATATACATAATATGATCATAATAAAGCTTAAGGAACCTTGTATTATTAAAATAAATGAATTATTAAAGAGAATCTTAACACATCATAAATTAATAAATATTGTATAAATTAATTAAAAGCCTTACAATCTAAATTAATCAACACTGTAATTAGTTCAATAGGTTCGTAATTTATAGATTAACCCTCTCTTACAGTTAAAATTGTGATGCACGCCTCACCAGATTTTTTTACTCACAATTGTCCAAAAGATCTTACATTAGTGATGGAAATTAATGATTATAGACATAAAATAAATGATTCTTATTAAAACTTTAGAAAAAAAAATTGACAAAATATTTTGTAAATAACTTTATTATGAAAACAAAAATCAGACTTAAAAATGGCTCAATGAGCCGAAACGTCGCAATTCCAAAATAAGGATGGAAAATAAAAATATGATTGGTAAAAATATTACTAATGGCTTTCCGAAATATAAAATGAAATAATATAGGACTCCAAAATAAAAGAAAATTATACTACAAATTTTTTAAAACTTTATCTATCAATTCTCACACGACAGCCAGTGAGGGTACTGTCTGGAAGTTGAATACGAAGTAAGACATCGACAAATTTAAGGTAGAGAAGTGCCTAGTAGCAGACCATCCTCTCTTGATTTTAATACCCAATGATATATTATACGTATACCTTCTAACTAGTATTCCTGGAGATTTGTTCTCCTTTATTCAATTATCAAATTCTTTCAAAAGTTATATTTAGCATTTTTTTTTTCTTAACTTTTAATAGTGAGAGATAGTTGATTATTTAAAATAAACCATATTAGAGGAACTTTAGAGGAAGACGCATATGAACTTTGGGCATTTAAGCCCTGTAAAGTGACATCAACGGGGATAAGACCTAAATAATATTAAAGAACACTTAATTATACAATGATACACCGAGTTTAATCAAAATCGTTGGAGCTGTTTTTGAGAAAATTGTAAAAATGTGTTTCGCCGTAAATATAAAGTGGAACTTTAAATGTTGTATCTAAGACATATACCTATCTTAAATACGTAATATTAGTTCGTACGTCTTTTTGTTTTTGACCCAGTGCCCACATACAAACACACCATTTTTCGGGTCTTGGTTATTTGGATTTAGGGTACCTCAAACTTTTTCTTATTATAGATTACAAATATAGGTAAGTGATAGTAAAAAAACATAAAACAGAAATTATTGAATATTTAATAGTTGACCGTTGCATTATAAAGGAAGGAGATGGTCCGGGGTGGCGGTCATAAATAGGCTAAATAATGGTGAAACTATTTTATTAAAAGCCGACGCACAACAATTGTTAGAATCTATTTATTTCAGTTTAGGATCTTATTACTTAGCTTACTCTGTTCATATTTTAATGTACTTACTGTTTATAATTTCAATAAGCTTATTCACATAGTTTATAAATTTTGTCTAAATATTATGTAAATGCCACAATTCTCTATCTTTTTGTATCTTCTCCGTTCTAGCCCTTTAAGTTAAGGCTATACGGGGTTTTCCCGGGCCAGGGAGTGTGGGCGGGGATTTAAAAGACTCTCAGCACCGGGACGCGAACTCGTGACTATTATATCATTAGATTCATGTCAGGTTGCCGGGCAACGGCGGTGCTGTGCACACGCTTTAGCCCATTCGGCTACCCCGCCCACGTCCATTCTAGCCCTGAAGAAGACCTGCAAAGTCGGGTCGAAACGTAGGCTTTTAATAAAATAGTTTTACCACTATTTAACCTGTTTATGACCGCCACCCCGGACCAATTCCTTCCTTAATAAATGTTTTAGTAACGCCGTGGGTCAATAATTTGCTAAATTTAATATTTTTAGATGGTTGTTAAAATGTTACCAAGTAATCAATCGAGTTGGAGATGCTTGCGGGAGTAGTTTGGAGACCATTGTTATAGAGTCTGTAAATTGTGTATTGGATTTTGATGTCTTGCTAAGACTGTTGTACCGTCTAATATTGATACTGGATCATTTTTTAACTAGTTCATAAGTACACTTCAGCTTTGGTTCGGGCCTAATCGAATAAGCCGTTGATGATATATATCAGAATACAAAATGCCCTCACAACTGCGTGGTTCATCCAAGTGATATTAACGTCAATAAGCAATATGCTCATAACATTCAGAAGCGAGAGAATATCTTCAATTCTGAGTTATATATCTTTTTAACCATATGAATAGAAAACTTTCCTACTTTCGATAGAATATATATATATTTATATATATATGTAGATACATATATATAAATAAATACATATATGTACATATACATATGTATAGGGCTTGTGTATTCATGAAAAAACAGAGGATGCAAAATAACTAGAGTAAGAGCGGTGCCATTGGGTCACCGAAGCAGAACGGCAGGTGCACCACAAGGTGACTCAATTAGTTCAAGGTGACATATTCTGCTAACGTAGTCACAATGTAGTTTAGGCAAATCCCCAAATAGATCATATAAAGACAAAAATTTACTCTTGAAACTTGATAAGACTAATGAACAGAAAATATCAACTTTCAATTGACAGCCAATTACTGATCTACAAGACAATACTGAATACGGACTTGAACTATAGAGACACAGCAAAAGTTTCTAGCATCAAAAGCATTCGATCCTTTCTATCCAAGTCCTTTGAACCATAGTTGATGCTCCGTTCTATGTAACTAACAAAACCCTACATCATGACCTTAATATCCTATTTGTCCTAGACCTTATCCCTCGATTTTTTTCCAAATTCCACCTAAACCTTACATATCATCCAAATCCACTTGCACAATCCCTCTCTAGCAGTACTCACCCCTACACTCCTCCTTGGAAGTTGAAGCGGCAGTGGCCCAGAGACCTGTTGTAAGAACATACTGGAGTTCTGGCAATGGCCAAATTCTCAAGAACACCTAGACGACATAGCTTGGGCTAAAAGGTGGAGAATAAAAATCAACCGAGTCTAAGAGTCAATTTGTTTCATTTACACTTAAACATGACTCTTGTCCTCCAGTATTCTTCAATAATATCGCTCTAACACCTTCAAAAACTGTACGATATTTGTATCTCCACTTGGACAAACGACTGACATGGATATACCACATAAAACAAAAAAGAAAAGAACTTAATCAGCGATACGGACTTCTTTCTAGGCTACTTGACAGACGTTCTAAATTATCTGTGACTAATAAACTAACTATTTACAAAGTCCTCATTAAACCACTATGGACATATGGGATCGACCTATGGGGAATAGCAAAGAAATCAAATATAAAAATCATCCAGTCAAAAGTCCTTCGGAAAATTGTAGACGCACCCTTTTATGTTTCAAACCTCACGTTACACACTGACCTTAACACTCCTTTCATCACGGCAACTGCCACTGACCGCTTTAATAATTTTCATGACAGACTGACTCTAAATTCCAATCCACTTACTCAAGCTCTATCTACTGCTACAAATCCATATAATCCGCCCAGAAGACTGCTGAGGCGCTGGCCAAGAGACTTATTGCATTGAGCTACTTGCTGCATTATCTTTTTTTTGTGTGTGTGTTTGTTATTATGTATATGTTATTTTACTACTGTCTTTTTGTTTTGTTATTACTATTCTTCTTTTTTATGCTATCATTTCTTATCCTTGATATCATATTTGCTGAATACCGAGGTAGATGGTAAATTTATTGTGAGCCACGAATATGTATAACTAATAAAATAAAATGGTATGTCTGGTTACAGCGCCTGTGATCAGGCTCAGCTGGTCCTTAATACGAGTAATGCGGCTCAGTGTGAGGCGCTGGGATCTCCTAGAGTCCTGCCTTCCCCTCCACGAGTGAAAGGCTTGGCTAGGAAATTTTGAATGAATGAATTTCGTAAATATTGTATAAAACTATGCGTGTATTTAAGTAGTTATTTTGGTTTCTTTTAGTTTATATAAATTTACTTTTAGTATAATTATTTTGCTATTTATTTATTGTACATAGTGTGAATGAACTACACTTTCATCTCTATTACTACTATTCTTATAATCCTGGAGCCAAGGTCCAAAAATCGACTTCATCGCAGGCGAATGTTTGATTGTAAACTACGAAAGTGTATGTTATTCTGAGTAAAAAGAACCTCGTCTACCGTTCCAAAGCCGTTGCTTTCAAAAATTGCGACTGATTTAAAAAGTAAAATTATCCAAATTTTCGCCTGTTCAGGGAAAAAAACTAGATACCATATCTTACCTCCTAATTGTCCGATTTTTTTTTTTGTTTTTTTTTTAGAAAATTCCATAAACTTTTAAAAAACCATGAAGTATGTTATATAGTTAAATTTAAATGGTACCGAGAAAATGACTTTAGCGAAGTTTCATTGAAATCGGTACATTCGTTTAGGGGCTACAGTCTATAGCAACTCAGGTTTTTCTGCATTTTTTTTTCTCCTTTATTAACTTATCAAATTCTTTCAAAAGTTATATGTATCATTTTTTCGTAAATCTGAATAATGTGAAATGGTTAACTTTTTAAAATAAACCATATTAAAGGTACTTTAGAGAAAGACATATATGAACATTGGGCATTTAAGCCCTGCAAAGTGACATCAACGGGGATAAGACTTAAATGATACACCGCGTTTAATCAAAATCGTTAGAGCCGTTTTTGAGAAAATTGTGAAAATGTTTTTCAGCGTTGATATAAAGTGGCACTTCCGGTAAGCCGATTTTAACGAAAAAGCTGCAGTCACATCCGGCCCATATACAAACCTTAAATACTTAATATCAGTTTCGTACTACTTTTCGTTTATGAGCTAGACTGTTAACACACACAGACCATTTTGCAACACTTGGTTATTTGAACTCAAGGGACCTCAAAACATGTATTTCCGTTGAAAACTGAGATTCGAAAATTTTCACGATCGCAATACTTACCCTTACTATATATTACATATATACGTAAGTGAAAGTAATAAAATAGTCCAGTTTTTGAGGATCGAAACTGGAAATCCATTGCGAAAGATGTGAGAAAAGTTTTTATTTTTTTTAAGTGATATATACAGGTTTATATGTAAAAAACAAAATTCCTAACGCGGGCCCACCAAGGAAACCTTTTTACTGCCAAAAATATCAGATTTTTTCAATATTTTTTAGTTTTTTCACTTATAACTCCTAAACGATGCATCAAAATCGAAAAATGTATTTCTTAATAAATTAAAGAACGTTAAATTGGGCGTCGAACGAGTACACAAACATTGTAATTTGGTTACGCGGCAAGGTATAAAAGACGGCCAACCAATAATTTTTTCCAAATTTATCAAAAACCGAGACAAATTACTATAAATGGCCCAGAAACTTGGAAATAAGTTTCCTAAGAGGAAAAAACCCGTTTAATCAAACTTTGCGTCTAGTGAGGACCAAGCAGCCACAATATAATTTTTTTAACATACGTTAATCACTGCTAATTTACATCGAAAAACATCCACTACTCAATCTGTACATATATAACAACAATTACTCAAAGAAATAGAATAAACACAGTTACTTTTATCTGTTCCTCTACTAGCGTTAATGTCGCGTGATGTTTTATAAATAATGTTTTTAAATACGTTCTGCCAGGCATAGCACCATTTATTCCTAAAAAAAAAAACTTACCGGCAATTTTATGAGGATAAAAGGAGATCTCGTAATTACTTAGGCAATGGTGAAATTATTTTGCTCAGTAAAATATGATAACGTAAATACTCACAAGTATATACGTACGAAATAATTATATAAGTGGTACATGTAAAGTAAAATTAAACTAAATGAGACTTCAATTCAAATTACATTGACGAAACGATTCGAGAGAGTTTCATCAGGCCAGCTCAAATATTTACCAATTCAACCCTTCGCCCTGCCGCCATTGACACAGCTCATACAGAATTACGTCAACGAATACCACTTCATGAATGGAGAGCAATTCATCTTATTTCGATAAATCGAAATACAATGTAAATATCGATTATACAGAGAAGACTTTAATAGGAAGCCAGGTGTGTACGGTGGAGAACATCTGGAAAGATCCTACAAAGGAGTTCAGGAGTTCTGTTGCAGCATCAGGTCTTTTGAACAGTCTCATATGGTGCATACAACATGTGCATATATATACAACTATATGCACTTTGAGGCAGAAATAATATATATGTATATACAGATGTTGAAACGGAGTGACAAAGGCGTTGACGAAGACAATAGAGAGTGAGGCAGTTGGCGGGAATGACACACAGGCTATTGTTCGTCTTGTTTCAGGTCACAGGAAAAATATTTCTAGTGAAGACAGATATTTTAATTATACCTATATCACAGTTATTATATAAAATTTATAATATTTAATTAAAAAAAAATCAAATTTCAATTAAAAAATTGTTTTTATTATTTTTGTAAAAAATCACTGTAAGCGAAATTTGTTGATAACTTTTTGTTATTTTTTTTTTAACTCATTTAAAATAGGAAATATTATGGATGCACCTGAATTTGAACGGACAATATCGGTTTCTGATTACTTTTTGGTTGAACAAAGACGTCCTTAAAAAAAAAATTACTTTTATTAATTTCTACAAGATATACACATAATTTTAATTTTGTATTCGTACAAATTTACAAGGTTTCCAAGATTTTTTTAAATCTCTGCCTTTTACTAGCATTAATTCAATTTCAAGATTTTTTCTATTATTAAAGATTTAAAAGTAGGGAAAATATGTAATATATTCAACATATAAATTAATTTGATTTCGAGATCAAAACTTTGATTATTTTGACAAATAATGAGAAGATTAATTATCAACAACAACAAGTGTTTAATAGAAGACTGAATACTTTCGTATCGAATTTATGAAAATTTGTAGATGAATGATGTAAATCCGTTAATAAATGACCTAATAACACTAATTAATCAAAAAATATTTTTTCAAAACATTTTCTAGATAAAGTGTATTTACTTTATATTAATAAACCAATTAATGCATTATTTAACTGTAATTTATATGACAAAATTTACTAAGTAAATCATTTATGATACCTACAAAATTCCTCTTTCTAAGATATTGAAATTCTGAAAAATCTCAAATTAAGGGTGTACAATGATATGATAAAGTTCTGATATATGGCTGCGGGACCAAGATTCTAGAACCAAGTATCGAAAGAATCGAAGAGAAATTTGCTCGATAACCGGAGGAATATGGGATCAGAATATTGACTCATGGAGGAGTAGTATTAATAAAGAGCTGCTTAAACGAAACTGGTCAATCAATATTTCATGATATTAAGGCAAGGAGATTAAGATAGGAGGGACACATAGCTCGGAGCAATCCATTTGGAAGCCTTTACACAACAATGAGAATGGCTCAATAGGAGGTAAAATACCACAAGGAAAGCAAAAAAAAAAAAAAGGTGAATAGATAGAATTAACAAAGAGCAACATGCAGATAACTGGAAAGAAATTGGCCAAGTTGGGCAGAGATTGATAAGAATGAATAGGCGGATAAAATATTGACAGAGCCTGTAACGCCAAAGAAAAAAACAACTATTAATCGAAAATACTTTTGCCTGAATTTTTCTCAGTTAACCTTCTGTGTAACGTTACTAAAATAGTTATAACGCTGGAAAAGAGACATAAGGTAGCTATGTTATAAATGGAAAAAATCCAAACTACAAAGTCAAGAGTTTCCAACATACAGGTACATACATATAATAGTATAATATAGTATAATATAATGTATAGTATAATATAATAATGTATAATATAATATATAGTGTAATATAATAGTACATACATATAATAATACAACATACATATAATAGTTGCAACAGATAGCTTGCCAACGTTTCGCCAATTCATAAGGAAAAAAAAAAAAGTATAGTGTTGTAGACATCTCACGAAGCCATACAAATATGAAATAAAGGAAAGAGAAGGACAATATAAGGAGGAAAAGAGAAAAAAAAATATGCATAACTAAAATATAATATTACAAAACGTGAGGAATTAAATAAAATAATAAATTCCAATGAAAAAATTTGAAGATATATATAAGATCTATTCCTAACAAAACTCAGCCAATACACGGCCATTCCACAAATAATATTACTAAAATACGCATAAAGCTGGAAAATAGAACTTCTGTGTAACGCTGAAAGGCAGGACTCTTGCCGTGATATATATTGTTAAATATTAATCAAAGGTTTGTACGTATATAATTAATTTTTTTTTTCTTTTACATATAATATATTATTTTGATTCTGATTAGAAAGAAAACCGAGCTTCTATAGATAGTTATGCAGACTGCTACGAACTTCTCGTTTTCCTAATTTCGTAAGATATCTCTCGTGATATTAAATGGCTATAGATACGCGAGATATGATTAGATGGGGTTATATAACTGCACTGCATTCTTTGGAGGTGACGCGGCGGATGCACAGTCAAGTGAGTGTCTAGAGAGCTCAGTTCTCAAGAGAGTAAGATCTCTTTCACATCTCTTAGTCATGCTGTATTGGAAAATACCAATGATATGATCGTGTTGTAACTAATGTATTCTATGATCATTAGCGGATCCAGGATTTAATTTTGGGGAGGGCCTTCAGCCCGACAACTTTTTTTTTTATATATATGTATATAAATATATAACGATAATTACTTTGGAAGAAAATTAAAGCAATTAACTAACTACATGAAATGGTGTTTAAATGAGTCTTATAGTCTTATTAAATAAAATCACAGGAACAATATTTGTTTAACTTTTAAGAGAGGTTTATGAATTTAAGACTTTATTAGATATTTTTTTTTAAAATCCATTAACATGAAACTATATATGTATATAACATAGTTGAGCCTTCAGTTCACAGTAAGGTTTGAAATGAATAATTAAAAAAATAAACATCATTTGATGATTTTTGTCAATAGCTATTTTTATTTTTGATCATAAATGATAAAAATCATATCCTAATAATTATTTTGGAAGGAAATTTTTACAATTAACAATAGTAATAATTCTTGAGTAAAATCAAAAATATAATTTAAATAAAAAGAGAAATATATACATATATATTGAGCAGGTAACGCGTGCACGATTAGTGCAATTTCAGAAATATAACATTAAAAATGAGTACATTAATAACGTATACAAACATATTAATATTTTATTTAATTTTTGTGTACATGGTGATTTTTATTTTTTGGTCGATATTTCTTTAATTACAATTTAATCATTATTTTTAATCGGGCATGATTTTTTAATTAAAAATCAAATATAATAACTATTACATGATTTTGTGGCTAAAAAAAAATTGTCGGTTTCAAACTCTGGTTGACAGAATGATTAAATCCAATTTAAATATTTCTTATTATTAATTTTAGTGGTATTTTATCTAGTGGGAAGATTTTAACTTTTATTCACTGTTCTGTATTTCAACAATGCAATCATCTAGTCTGGAAATCAACTTACTCATTGTCTGTGCAGAAATAAATTTTTCAATTAGAAATATCACTGGCAACTGAAAGGCTCATATTTTAAGCAAGTATGACATCAAGATATATATATATATATATATATATATATAATATATATATATATATATATATATATATATATATATATATATATATATATATATATAAAGGACAGAAAGAAAGAGAAAAAACAACAACCTATGAAGGGTCTCGGGTTCAATACTTTGTAAGTACTGCTTCAAGACCAAGAATTGTGTAGGGATGTGATCAGGACGGGATCAAGCTCAACCGCAGGTTTTACTTCTTTATTAATTACTTAATTAAGAGTATCCACTTATTAGATAGGATAGGAGTGCCACAGGATGGTTTCCCGAACCCATTTTTAAATTTCAATTATCACATTTAAATTACAAAACTAAACAAATATAATAAACATAAGAAAGGAGATGGTCATAAATAGACTATATAGTGGCAAAACTATTTAGTCAATTTATGACCGCCATCTAGAACCATCCCTTCCTTAATAACGCAATGATCAACTATTAATATTCAATAATAAATATATGTTTTTATCAGATAATATTAATTCATGTGATTTAATGAATTAAGGTTAAAACAACCAAAAAGTATGTACAAATAAATATGTTCTAGTAAAATTTAAAAAAAAAAAATGTAAACGAGTAAAAACTAGTAGAGAAACAGAAAATCGATGTTATGTTATGATTGGAAAATTCCAGCCACAGTATTGTTATTGAATAAAATAACCCGTCAACGTTTTGTCAATTCAAGAATCAACAAGACAGAAAAGAAAACAAACCCGAGATCAGATCACTCCATGACATCCATATTGAACAAAGCTCGAAATTTGACGTCCTCGATATTCCGTCACCCGTGACAAATACAATATTTTGCCCCTCCCTAGTTCCGGCCAAACGTGAAACATAACACTTCAAATTTTGGGGATTAAACAAATTTGCTCTGTCGAATAGAAAAGTTATTTAATGAAAATGTTAAAAAAAAAAAAAAAAATGCATACAAATAATGTATTGAATGACCTGACTCCCTGGCGGCCTTTTATATTAGGACCTTATACAATTATCCCCTACCCCTTCTATTGGACCTGGTACCAGTACTTTATAGCAGCTCCCCGCCTCGGCCTGATTACGGTGGCCCGAACCTATGGACAGGTAGGGGAGAGAGGAAGGCAGCTGGTACACACAGCTGCTCTTTCAGCTCCTCCTTAACGTGTTACATTGCCTACGAGGTCTCGAGGGTTTGTTTAGGGGAACCAATGAGTGTTGTTCTAATGTTATTATGTACATCCGGGAGGGTAGAGGTTTAGTTGGGTCCAATTAACGTGATGTAATCATGATACTAGAGAAGGAGGGGACAACACAAAAATATTAAGTAACATTAGAGTAAAACCAATCCGAACATCAAGTGTCCTGATATCCGGTTGATCCGGATAAAAAAAAAACTAATTTGATTACGAGTAAATACGAAAATTGTTTGAAGACCTTGGAGCCTCCATGAAAGTACCAACTAATCCTTTGGTCAATTTTAGAGAACCAGAAAATATTCTCCACTTTCTTGCACTTAGTCTTATTCTGAGAGAATTCAGAAGAGGCATGTTTAGAAAAACATTGTCCGAAGTTGAAGTGCTGATGCTTTGTGTTTCAGATTCATTTTGTCTCTTCCTTATATTCATATTTCGGTGTTAATATCCCTAATCCTTCAAATACCTCTTCTAGTTCTTAATACCAGAAATGCGGCTCAGTAAGAGGCGTTGGGATTGTATAAAGTCCTGCCTTTCCTTCAACGAATGAGGGAAAAGCTTGGTTTGTTGTTTTCCTGAGTGAATGAGTTTTGCAAATATTTTATAAGTATGTTACAAAATATTTAAGATATTTTGATTAGTTTAGTTTTTATTTGTTTATATACATTTATTTTTAGTATTATTATTTTTCTGTTAAATTTATTTTTATTTATTCAACATAGAGTGCTAACGAGCTACTCGATTAAAATTATTAGCGTCCTTGGATGTGACAGAATGTAATATTTCTAAATAAAAAATGAAAAAATAAAATCCTTCAAGTTTAATAATCCTGAAAATTCTCAAAAAAAATTCAAATGAAGGGTATAGAATGCTATGATAAAGCCAGTTCTCATATATGGCTGCGAGATCCAAATCAGTATGCTAGGAAGAATTATTGATAGATATGAGAGAAAAATCTTCCCCGCAAAAACCAGAGCGATCTAGGATCAGAATATCAACGCAAATAATATCTGATGGTATGAATGCAAGGAGCATAAGATGAGCGAGACATGTAGAACACAGCAATCTATCTATCTAAAAGATACAATAGAGATGCATGCAGATAACTGAAAATAAATAGTCCAAGATGGGCAGAAATGAAGAAGGCTGATTAAGTTGAAAAAAGATCTGTAATGCCAACAAAAAAAAAAAAAAGAATCGAAAGCCAATTAATCGATATATTAATAAAATATACACGTTTATCGATATCTACATATCTTTTCATGTAAATATGTACATATATGTTCATGTACCCCTTGGATTCATTACCTTTGATACAGCACTAAAGTATATATTTTCGAGATAATGTGACGAAAATAATTGCAATTTTAAGAATTACAATTCCACTAATACTTACATCCCAAAAAGAAGATACCACAACTCCTTAAGAGACCATCTGACTCCGACAGATTGTGGATATAATAGGCGACATGTGGACGTTCGACAAAGACTCCCGAAGAACAAAGAACCTTCGTCTTTCTGGAGGAGGGCCATTATCCGAGCAAATGGTTTCCAGCTAGGGAGGAAATCTCGCGTGTCTTGGCGGCGGACATCCGGAACAAGAAGTCACGGGCGGCAACACATGTCATGCCGATGGGCGTAGTCTTCTGCGATATCAAAGGCAGTGCGATTTCTGCTTGCTTTATAGAAAACGTGTTTTACAAAAGAGAAAGTAAGAAGATTCTTACGTTGTTAAATCAGGAATATCCCTTTAACAAGTTCAAGAAAGAAATATATAAACCTATTGAAACAGAATTAAAAAATATATAAATAAAATACATAAGCTTCAGAGCTTTGTCACTGAGTTCGAATTTGTTCTAATTATTTTATTATTATTTATTAGCAACATAAGTGGGTTTATATCCAAATAAATGGAAGAAATAATTTATTCAGATTTTGGAGTTTTCTCTCAAAACAAATAAAGATTAAATAAACATAATCATTTGTTAATGTTTGCAAATAAAATTGTATCAGATCATTCACGTAATGTCACTGGATAATTTGATTTATCAAAACAAAAAATTAGACCAGACGTAGGATTAGAAAAAAAAATCGTTTTATAACTACAAGCCGTCATCCTAAGCTTATGAACATAGTAGGCTGTCGATTTTGATTGGGGCGGCGATGCAACAAAAAAAAAAAAAAAAATGGCAAGAATTTAAATTACCAGCAAAAATTTATAAATATGTAATATTATAACACAAATTATAATATTAATGTTTAAAATTAATTTGTTAATAATTTTATATAGTATTAAGGATTTTTATTTATTTATTTTGTTTTATTAATTATATACATTTGAAAATATATATTTAAAAAAATCAATTGAATAAATATATAACGTATTCGCTTAGATTAAACACATAGGCATGGGGGAAGGGGGAGGGGAGGAGACAGCCATATATTAAATTTCTGTACATAAACATAAGTAAATTTCTGGTACTTTTTTATCTAAAAATGAATAATGAAAAAAAACTGTCATTACAACCCATGAAGGATCTTGTGTGCAGCACTATTTAGGGAAAGTAAAGGAGGTGATTTGACTGATATTACGGTCAAGCATCAGGTATTACCCCCTAATTAATTATTAATTAAAAATAACCACCTTATGGAAGTTGGATGTACCCTCGATCCTAGGGTTGATGGAACAGAATAAATAATTTTTCTGCCATGAGTCGGGTATCGCACATAGAACCTTGAGCATCGGTTTGTGATAACTATATCAAGTGAAAATAGAGGGGTTATTTAATCATAAAATCTTAAGATATATATATTATTAACTTTGAATATAAATGACAGTTTAAATAATACTAACATTTAGGTAATAATACAATAGTTATATATCTACTACTAGTCAGGCTAGTCGATTTTTAATCTTAATCGATTTTAGTTTACACATTTTATTCATTCATGTAGCTATTTATTATCGATTTTATTTTTTATTTTTTTTTTACCGCATATTATTGGCGATTAAACGATATTGGCTCTCTTATTTTTATTGAGGAGGGGGGGGGGGGAGAGGATACTAACTTAAAATCTGCGCCTATGCTTATGACCCATATTAGTAGAGTAAATACAAACAAGTAAGCATGGGTATTTAGGTTGATCCTGAAAAGAGCTTTCTAGACTCCAATACAATATTTATAAACATAAACATTCAGAAATGTCAGCTGTTAATTATGACGTTCATATTATTACAGCTGACATTCCAACTCCAGTACAGTTCTCTTTAATTAATACCGTGATGACATGCGGTTATCATTGACTGACAATCGCATTCATTCCATCCCGAACCCTCCAACCCAATCACAACATTGGAAGAATGGAGACGGAATTAAAGGATAACCAATAATTCCCATCAAATTAAAACTGATCCGTTGATTGGGATTTCATCCTGACAAACAATCCTCTAAACCTACACTAAGCTTGAATAAGATTCTAAATTTCAAGTCTGGTAGAATTAAAAAAAATAAATAAATCGTTTTTTTTTTCTTTAACGCTTTTATTGGAAGATTGAAAGAAAATTATGAGTGGTCCAAGAAGTAAACTATTTACTCTATATATAAAGAGAAAATATAACTGTAACAAAATAAATAATAAATCAATTGTTAGATTAGTGTAAACAACATATTAGCATAGACTGGTTTTTTTATACAGAGAAAAAACTGCAGAATATAGTACATAGTATGCAAGAAAAATACCGTAGAATATACAAGAAAAACGTTCAATTACAAGAGCACCAGTATCTCTTACATTAAATTTGGAATTTTAAAAAAAATCGGAGCGAGGTTTAAACCTTAAATAAAGTTTATTTCAATTTCTTTAGCACTTTATTTTGTGAATTCTTGAAGGAAGTTAGTCGAATGTTCTACATATCATGGGTGATAAATATTCAGGAAGCAGTCTTTTTTAAATTTTTTATTTTTGCCAACGTTTCATGGAGTACATGAACAACCTCAGTGCTCAAACCACGCCCTGAAGATGACCCACATGTTTGGGTTGAAACGTTGCCAAAAATAAAAATTTTAAAAAAGACTGCGTCCTGAATATTTATCACCCACTTTATTTTGTGGATATTGAATGAGGTTGAGCTGCCACGCAAGGCTTTGTAACGCTCATTATTTGGGTAAACTCTAGTAGACAAATTTTTGCATTTGGATTAAAATCTCAGAAACTATAACTCGGACCTGCATACTGTAGGCGAGAAAAATGTTCAGCGTTTCATTCAGTTTGTAATGAGCTGTTATTCAAAATTGTATCTTGATGCGATGGCGTGTTAGATAGCCTAAAAGAGGAAAAGACAGCGTAAAAAACAAATGATACAGAGTTTTTTGATAAATGGCTAATTTTCACAATTTCGATTCTCAGTTATGATAACAATTTTTAAATAATTTTATTGAAATATTTGTTCAGATTATTTTATCATTATATTAAAAAAACAATTTACTGGACTAAAATACAAAAGTGTTGAACGATTAATTTGTCACTGATGTGATTACAACATTGAATAGGAAATTAAAGAACAAGGAAAATTTTAAATTATTTTATTCAAAATTTCATTCCGACGGTTTTGAACTAATTATTCAAGCGAAATGCAATAATAATAATTTGATTGAGAAGTAAACAAAAGTAAATAATATAGTTTTGAAATTTCCTATAGATATGTATATATATGTAATTCTGAAATCTTTCCCTAACTTTAACAAAGCTTAAATGCAATAAAAATAAAAAATAAAATAAATATATAAAAATTTATTTGAAGGAAGTTAGTCTTTAACCATACCATTATATTTTTGAAAAAATGTGTCCACGGATAACTTAGTAGCAATTGTGGCGATCTTTTGCTCCTATGAACAAGTCCTGCTAATTATACTAACTTTTTAATTGTATGAGTATTTTTTCATTTTTAAAAACTTGGAAAGATCCTACATAAAATATTATAGATAAGAACTAAAAATAAAAATAAAGAATACAACTAACCATGGTTACAATTTACTTCATTTTAATTTTTTATTTCAATTGTCTATATAGTTTAAAAAAAAAAAAATAATAGAACAGCATACATGTATTTCTCACTATAAAATGATTTCCCGCCTAAACTGTGTTCAATATAAAAAAAATAAATAATAACAATAAATTAAGATCAAATACTACCATCAATAAACATTATCTGCTATTGATATTTAAAAATTTAAAGAATTAGCAAAGATTTTTATTCATTTTATTTTTATCAATACTGCAAAAATATATAAAATTATATTTACTCAGATTAAAAAATTAAATATTAATGCAAATATATTAAAATATTCGTGTTTATTAATTGAAATGAAAACAAAAATTAAAGTTAATTAAATTCTTCTGTAATTAGTCATTGAGAAGATTCGAGATCACGTGGGCCAGCCACGCAAATTGAGTTACTACTACACGATACATTATAATTATCATATTAATTTAAATTCTACTTCTTACAACAATTAATATCTATACATTATAAGGGCAATATAATAATTCAAATATTTCATCTGAAAAAATAAATAAAATTTAAATAATCAATGATTACCTCTGATTTGAAGAAGATAATCCTTTAAATTTAAATTGGAACACTAAAACACAGATAACTTCCACAAACACTAGACACTATTAGCACTAAACGAACCCCCGACCCTAAAATACACCACGGGCACTCATCAAACACTAAACCCTCAGATAGGTAACACGTCCAACCCTTAGTGCGCTATCTACAGGGCCCTAAAGCAACTAGTATAAGCCCTTCATATTCCATATACTCAACGGAAGAAGACCATATATATCGTCTTTAAAGAACCTAAATTTGAAACATGTTCCAATCTGTAGTGTTCACGATAAATAGATAATTTCGAAAAATATTCTATAAGGGTCGACTCAGTCTGCAGTAATGATATTGCAGCATTGCTTTAAGTAATGAGAAATTCTTGAGGTAACTTACCTCCAATCCTCTACTTTCTATCTACCTTGAAGAAGCGCAAAATCCATAATTACACTATAAATGGAATTCCGAGCATGACCGAAAGACGACGGAGATGACCGAACTCTCTGTTAAAAGGCTTCAACCTCAACTTAAAAAGAACCTGTCGTGTGTATATTTATTCGTTTTGAGCTAGTATAAATGGAAAGCAGCTATGTAATTAATAATAAATATATGTCAATTACAAAAGTTCATTATTAAATTTAAAGCATCACGCAATTAAAATGAACAGTTCACAATAAAATTATTAATACTTACATAATAATAAACCAGGCATTAAGAAAAGATAAGACTACGCAACTTACAAGTCGTAATGATGATAAAAACAGTCTCTATGAAATGATTTATAATAATTAAAAATAAAAGATTAAAAATCATTTCTAATGTTCTTGTATTTATAATTTGTTCATTTCGAAGAAAACACTTTATACCAGGGTTTGAAATCGATAATTAAAAAAAATAAATAAATAAAATCGGATCATAATTTCTTTGTTTATTTTTTAATCTTTCATTAAATTCAGAATCCTCAAGAGTCTAAAGACGCATACTCAGATGTTGTTTTGTTTGTTTTTGTTCCTATAGAAACCATTTTTGTTTTA